TAAAATATAATAACCAAAAATATGTTCAGAAAATTTCTAAGAATAACACTAAAGAGCAGAACAGAACAGACAAATTAAGTCCAATCAAAATGTACACACAACACACAGTCACAGCGATCAGAAGGTGCAAAAATTCAATAAACTGGTAAGGCATATGCCTGCATGAAAGGGGGATAACAGATAAAAGGTAACAGCGCGTTGGCGAAGGAATGAGATCAGCGAAGAAAGGAAGAAGGGAAATACAAATGAGAAATTGGCTGACAAGTATTTAAGGAGCTTGGTGGAGAAGGCATCTTGCTTTGCAATGGAACGATAGGAGCTGATTAAGTTTGCGTGTGCGTGCGCGGGCGCGCGTGTGTGTATACCGTGGACATACGCACGATTTCTGTAAGCCATTAGACATAAACCGCGTGGCTGCTTGCCACGCGGCTCGAAGTCCAATGAAAGAACCAACGACTCAGCGAAGGGTTAGATGAGTTTATCTGACCTCGTCTGACCTATCAGTTCGTGACCGGCACTCGCTGGGCTCAGGTCATATTACCAACCTTCCGCCCCCCACAGGGCTGGCTCGCGGACCTGCGATACCACTCTCAGCGCGTACCTAGGACACGGGCTCGTGCGTTCCTCTTACTGTGTAGATCTCTTCCTAAATAAAGAGTCAAGCCGTTACAACCACTATCACTGTCCAATTAGTCATAAACAATGTGCTTAGGTCCCTGTAACTCTTAAAGTGTGTGTGTGTGCGTATGCTTATGCGTGCGTGTGTGTGTGTTTGGGAGAGAGCGGCAGAGAGATAAGCGAAACTTATCATCATGAAAAAAAATACTCAACATCCGGACTTCCAAAGTGCCTCCTGTTATATTATCATCATCATCCCCGCACGATCAGGTCTATTCTAAGTTTATAATCATCTGAACATCAAGACCGGGTGTATGCATTTATATTATTTTTTCCTTACGGATGAGGTAATTAGTTAATTAGTCACACAAGCAATTCCACTTCGACGACTGCATACAAATGATAAAAACTGATATTCTTTGTATGAGTTTCCATTTTATGTCATTAATGTGGGCGTGTTATCAGTCGAAGTTATCTTTTTATTTATCTATCATTATTATTTTTTTTTTGCAGAGGTAATCAAAACGTTTTTTTTTTCTGTTATTGTTACGATTATGGGAACATTTCACGTGGAAAAGAAACTCACTGAGAGGGCAACGTGTGATATTTCACATTCCTGAGGTGACCATCACTGAAACTTTGAATATTATGCATTTTTATAGATCTTACCTCGTGAAATTATGAATATTCCTTCATAGCTTCTTTCTTATCTATTATTTCTTCACAGATTCAATATAATGTCAATACGAGTCGTGAGCTTGAGTTTCGGATTCACGGATCGAAACTGGCTATTCGCACTCTACGTCCTTTTTGTGGGCGATACGCTGAACAGGAGAAGAAAAATAATTAAGATGAAAGATACATATACAGATGAAGAAAGAATGATGATAATAAGAAGCTTCAGAAGAAGAAAAGGAAAAAGACGGAGATACAGAAAATAAGAGTAAAACAATAAGAAGGAGTAAAACAATAAGAAGCAAAAGAAAGGAGAAGAAACAGAAGAGGGAACAAAGAAAGAAACAAAACAACAAAAAACAAACAAAATAAAACAACAAAAAACAAAACAAGCGACGACTTCCCCACAAAAGCAAACAATAAGCAAAAAAAAACAAAAAAACAAAAAACAAAAAACAAAAACGAGAACCAGACAGACGCACACAAAAACAAACCACAAAACGAAGGGAAATGCCAACTCTTTTCATTCGTTTCGATATAAATGATGTTGCATAATGCTGCGTGTTGCATGATTGTGATTATGCTCTCCTTTTTTTATTTTCAATTCGGGCCTCGAATTTGCATATGAAATGAACAGAAGGTAGCGAGAAAATTATTCTAATGGTGAAGTTTTACGTGCATTCTGGAATATAAAAGTTAGACAAAAATGATTAACAATAATAATCATAGTGATGGATGATGCGGATATGAATACTAAAAAGATATGTGGATTGGAATGATCAAAAGTTTGGGGAGTTATTGCGAATATTGCGAATATTGCGAATACTCTGTTAATAAGAGGATGGTGATAATGGACATGGTAATAATTGCAAGAATGGCGATTACGAAAATAATTAAAGTAATGATAGTAATGATAATAACGAAAAAAGACAATAATGATGACGAAAAAAAGATAATTATGATAATAAGGAAAGAAGATAATAATAATAATAATAATGATAATAATAATAATAATAATGATAATAATAATCACAATAACAATAGTAATTATGACAATGATAATAATGATTCTCATGATAATAAGGATGATAATAATGATAACGATGATATCAACAATAACAATGATAATTATCATAATGATGATATTAATTGTGATGATAATAATGGTAATGATAATAACTACGATGATGATGATGGTAATGATAGCAATAATAATAGTAATAATAGTAATAATAATAATAATAATAATAATAATAATAATAATAATGATAATAATAATAATGATAATAATAATAATGATAATAATAATAGTAATAATAATAATAATAATAATAATAATAATAATAATAATGATATTGATAATAATAATAATAATAATAATAATAATAATAATAATAATAATAACAATAATAATGATAATGATAATAATAATAATGATAATAATAATAATAATAATAATAATGATAATAATAATAATAATAATAATAATAATAATTATTATTATCATTATTATTATCATTATTATATTATATTATATTATTATAATAATTGCAATAATAATATAAAAAGATAATAATGAGAATAGTAATGATGATAACAATAATGATGATAATGATAATAATAATAATAATAATAATAATAATAATAATAATAATAATGATAATAATAATAATAATAATAATAATAATAATAATGATAATAATAATTATTATTATTATGATAAAACAATGATAATTAAACAAGAATAGTAATTATGATAAAACATAATAATAATGATTGTAATACGAGCAATAAAATATGATAATGATAATGATAATAATGATGACAATGATAGTAATACTTCTAATAATAATAATATTGATAATTATAACAATGACACTAACAGTCATATCAGTAATCATGACGATGATAATAACTATGCTGGTAATAGCAGTAATGATAATGATAATAACGAAGAGAGAGACTGAGAGAAGGACAAAGAGAAAGAGAAAAGGCAAAAAACATCGCTTCTATGACACTAAAATCACAGAAATTGTCTCTAATCTACCCAGACGAAAGGACCAAGTAGTCGCCTTCCCGGAAACACGACCTCACTTCTCGGGGAAAGATGTCGCCACGTCAGAAGAAGACATAAATCATACTTAATTACCTCTCTATGCAAATGAAGGCCTTAAAGCGTGTCTTATAGGGAGGCGGAGTCGAGGGCGTGTGTCGGCGCGCGTGCCTCTGACGTGATGGATGGCGAGTGTGAGGGAGAAGAACCGCGATTTATTTTCGCTTTTATTATCTCTTTTATTCCTGGCGGCTTCTCGGCCTGCGCTGGGGATTAGTCTCTTTCTATTCGCTTTTGATTCTTTCTCTTTGTCTTTCGATTTCTTTTTTTCTCTCTCTATTTCTGTATCTCTTTCTTTATTTCTCTCTCTCTGTCTCTAACTTTCTCTCTCTCTCTGTCTCTAACTTTCTCTCTTCCTCTCTCTCTCTTTCTCTGTCTGTCTGCCTGTCTATCTCTCTTTCTCTGTCTGTCTGTCTGTCTATCTCTCTTTCTTTCTCTGTATGTCAGTCTCTCTCTCTCTCTCTCTCTCTCTCTCTCTCTCTCTCTCTCTCTCTCTCTCTCTCTCTCTCTTTTTTCACTCTTTCTCTCTTTGTCTACCATGTTTTGTATATCTCTCTCTCTTTTACTCTCTCACATTCTTAATCTCTCTTTCTCCCTCTCTCTCTTCCCTCTCCTCGTTCCTTTCTCTCGAACACGGACATAACTCACAAAAGGAGGTAAAACGGCAAAAAGAGGCGAGTAAAGGCATCCATAAATAGAAGAAAAGGCAAAACCGAAAACCACCAGTATGATAAAGTGATTCCGCTCAACCGCAGCCTTGTGATCTCCCTCTGCACGCCTGTTTCTTAAAGCCAACGGCGCTCACAGCTCGCCTCGCCGACGCCGCTTTGCCCGACAGAGAACGCACACCTGACGAAGCACTGATGATTTCCGAAATACCTGACGGGAGTAAGAAGGGGAGGGGAAGGGGAGGGGAGGGGAGAGGAGGGGAGGGAAGGGGAGGGGAGGGGAGGGGAGAGGAGGGGTGGTGAAGGGAGGGGAGAGGAGGGGAAAGGAGGGGAGGGAAAGGGAGAGGAGAGGAGGGGAAAAGAAGGTAGGGTAGGGAAAGGCAAGACAGGTGAGGAGAGGGATGGGAGG